AAAGATAATTTTCAACCACTATGAAATATATAAATAAAAAAAAAAAATTGTTTTTAAAATTTTAATAACTTTTATTTTAAAATGAATTTAATCTAATGAAAAAAAAAAACAAAAGAAATAAATACACAATAACACAATAGAAATAACTTTGAATATATTACATTATGTTTTCTAAAAAAAAATTATTTATGAGTTTATATTAAAATTTTTTTTTTTTTTTTCCCACCTTTTTTTTTTAGTTATAAATTATTTTTGGATGTTTTAATATTAAATAAAAAAACATTCAAATAAATCAATATATATAGGTAAAAAACTAATATAAATTATTTTTATTAATAAGCGGTCTGTTTAAAGAATTTTAATTATTTTTAAAAAAATAAAATAAATAAATATTAGTTTTAAAAAAATACCACATTAATATAAAAAAACCCAAAATTTCATTGAAGTTACACTAATGTATTTCAATTATTTATATTAAAACTATATATAAAGTATAGTTTGATTAAATATTTAACAATGGCACTTTTTTTTCATTATTTTAATATCTCTATTACTGTATTTCTTTTTTTTTTTTTTATTAAAATGAATTTTTTTATTTTATTTATTTATAAATCATTAAAATATTAAATTCAATTCTATTTAATTTTTTTTTTTTTTTTAAAAAAAAATTCTTTTAACAATCAAAAGTGTGGTAGGTATTTCAAATATCAGAGAGAGAATTAAATAATAAAAATATTTAATTAAAATACTTAATTTAAATTAAAAAAAAGTAAATGAAAAATATATGTGTACCTATAAAAATTATAAATTAAACATTATAGTATTGTTTTTTAATTTTTTTTAATTTTTTTTTTAATTTTTTTTTTTAATAATTTTGTTATATTTTCTTTTTTTTTTTCTTATTCATATTATAATTTTTTTTATTTCAATAAAAATTAAAACTTACAAACTACAAAATTTTTTGTGTTCAATATATCTTTAATTTTTTTACATTTCTACAATCATATTTTATTTATTATAATTTATTATAGTTTATTTGTTTTTTTTTTTTTTGTAAATAATTTTATATTTTTTGTTTGTAAATAAATTTTATTTAAATTTTTTTTGTATATATATTTATTTAATCACCATCACTTCTTTTTTAATAGCAATCAAAATAAAATGTTTAGTTTAGATAATTTAGTTATTGTTTTTTTTATTTTTGTTTATTCTGTATTAAATTCCCTCATTACCACAATCATCCTCAAACATTATTACTATCCACAACAACAACAAACCAATAATAATGGAATGTTTACTAAAGAGGATGTAGATCGTCTCTTGGAAAATCATAAAAATGAAATTAATTTAAAGGTAAGTTTCATTTAACATAAAACTATATTTTATAATTTATTAATATTTATTTTTTAAAAATATTTAGATTTCCAAAGAAAAAGCTATTCTAACAAAAGAAAATGAGGAAATTCAAATAAAATTGAAAAAAAAACAAATCAAATCTTCAAAACTAAAAGATTTGCTATTGGATTATGAAAACAAAAAGGAAGAGGTACTAAAGCAACCTTTAGCAGTACCAGATTCATTAAAATTAAGAAAAGCTTTGGAAGAAAATGCACAATTAAAAAAGGTAAATATTTTATTAAAAATAATTATTAATATTAATAATTAATGATTAAATATTGTTAATTAATAATTAATATTATAAATATTTTTTTTTCACATCATCATAATTTCATTTTACTAATATCTTATGATTAATTTTTTTTATTTTCAATTTAGAAAACTTTGGAACTTGAGGAATCAAACTCACAACTTTATAATCAAATCCAAGTTCAAGTTAAAAATTTTAATGACCTTAGAGTACATGCCGAGTCAAAATTAACCAATGCATCGGAGCAATTAGAAGAAATAAAAAAAGTTGCCAAAAAACAAATTCTTGAACTTAATTTAAAATTAAAAGATGCAAAATCCAAATTAGCTTTGAAAAAAAAACAACAACAAGAAGAAAATAAATGTTACGTTTGCATGGAAGATATGGAGACTGATAGCATCGCCACCATTGATTGCAATCACAAATTCTGTTTTGATTGCATGGATACATGGCATAAAATTAAAAATACTTGCCCATTATGTAGAGCAAGATTCTATACAATTAAAGTAAGTAAATTCATACATTTATATTTATATTTAATAAACAAAAAAATAAATATTAATTTTTTTTCATTTTATAACTGTAGAGAGTCGGTCATGATCCAATTGTAGTAGGCGATGTTGAAAATAGAGCCCATGAACAAGAATTAGATTACAATTTCCTTGATGATTCCGATAATTTTGAAAATGAAAATGAAAATGATAATGATAATGATTCCGATGATGATTTCAGTGATAACAGGGAGCAATTTTATCACCATTTATTGCGTCGTCGTTTTGTTCACAATATTTACGAACCAATATTTGATGATTATATAAATATGGATTAATAATGAAATTGAATGCGATTAAATTAATAATTTACGTACTTTATTCAAAGTTTCTTTAAAACGAATATGATGAAGTCTTTATTATTAATTAACTCGTTTCATTCCTAGTTTCATTTATTGATTACAATTACATTTATATACATCATCCGAAAATTTGTCCAAGTAGTTCTAAATAGTCAAATCATTATCAATATTTTAATAATAAATATATCATATTGTTCAGCTCTACAAAAAGGAGCAACGTAAATTTATAATAATTTTAAAGTTCCAGATCCAAATATTAATATAGAAATTCAAAAAGGTAACTATAATAATAACATTAAAATAATTCATATATTTAAAATTAAAAGAAACTAATATTTAACTTTAATTCTTATTTAGCCTAATTCCAATTCTTTATTCCTCAATATCAATATGTTCAAAGTTTCTAATCTAACGTTAAGATCAAAATTCGAAAAAAAAGTTCACGACAATCTCCAACTTTATCAGAACCAAAAACCAGATTCACTTTTCCCTTTAATGGTAATCACAATCCATTCAGAACCGTATTCCAGCAGTATAAATACCCTCTACAACCATCAACAATCACATATTCCAGCAGTATAAACACCCTTTACAACCATCAGGCAAAAAACCACCACTTAGACTCACTGGCAAAGCATATCCAAGCATAGCTAAATCAATCAATATTTTAAAAACTAAATTATTTATATATTTAATTAAATAATTATTTAATAAATAAATTTATAATAATTAATAGTTTTAATAATTAAATTAAATAAATAAAATAAACTATTTCATAAATATATAATTAAATAAATAAACATATAAATTTTAAAATATCTTTTTTTTTTTTTTTTTTTTAAAAAAAGCTTACTTAATAATATAATAAATATTATTAGTGTAAGCGACGGTGTTTATTTATATTAAAATATAAGAAGAAGTATTGGTTGGGTAAGGTTGAAGCAATCTATCTAGTTTAAGAAGTTTTTTTTTCTTAGATTATTATCATCAGCAGGTGATTTCGGACTACCTGATTGGTACGGAGTGGTTTTGATTGGTGTGGATATTTGGCTAACATTTCGAGTACGGTTACTTTTTGTGGTATTAATATTTGTTATGGCAGTTTTATTTTTGGAAGTTGGTGAAGCTAATCTTGTAAAAATGTTGTTTAGTGCGTTAACCCTGGATGTTCTTGAGGGTTTGCTGGTTGATGAATTATAAGAAGCAGGTTTCAATAGTTCTTCAACAATTGGTTTCTTTTTAGTTTCACTAATTTTAAATTGTTTCTTGTTTTGGTAGTTCACTAACTTCATCTTCTAATTTTCTCTTTAGACCTACTGTATTTTTTGGGATAACTGAATTTGGAAAGTGACCAGGTTAGAGTTAATTTATTTCTACTATTACCACCCAATGACACTCAAAGATAACATGATTTATAATCATTTTTTTGTTTTTTATAAAAATTAAATTTTTTTAAAATCATTTTTTTTACAAAATATAAAGTTTTGGGTATCGTTTGAAAGAAAATTAAATAAAAAATCTGAATAAAATAAAAAAAATGATTAATCATATATTTTAAAGGTACATATACTTATTTTAAACCAGTTTCTATCTCTTTTCCATATTATTATTTTTTTTTATTATAATAAATATTTTTCAAAACAGTTCTCTTTTTTATTTATTTTTTATAATTTTTTTTTTTTTTAAAATTTTTTATTTTCTTTCGAATATAATCCTTCTTATTAAAAAACTATCATTATTATTTAATAATCACACATAAAACAACACATATTCAGCAACACAAAAAAAAATAATAATATTTACACAATACAATCAATAATAAAATATTTTATTTGTCTTTATTTATATAATAATAAATATTTTTTATAATAATCAATTAAATTAATATTTAATAAAATTAGTAATTTTATAATATTTGTTTTTAGAAAACATTATTTATCAATATTTAAAATGAATAAAATCACTTTTGTTTTATATCATTTATTTTTAATGTTAATTTCTTTTATTTTAACATTAACATTACTTTGGGTATCTGTAGTAATTAATAATTATTTTTATATTGTTTACTACATTGTTTATTCAATTAAAATTGCATTGTTTTTTTACACAATGCTTTATGTATGTGTCTTAATAGGAGACATAATTAGATTAATATTATATATTTATAAAATAAGAAAAATAATTATAATAATAACCTTAGTATTACTTATTGTTACTGTCCCATATCAGAATAATATTTTATGTGTTATTTACCCTATATATACAGTAATAATTATTATATTTTTTTTCATTATTCTTTCTATGTGTGTCTTAATAGGAGACATAATTAGATTTATAGTCTATATTTATAAATATATAAAAAAAATTATTAAAAAGTGTACTTCTTTAAATTTTAAAGAAGACTTGGGGATTAACATTTATCAATAGACACGCGTTACCCAAAAAAAAAAGAAAAAAAAATAGAAAAAAAAAAAGAAAAAAAAAATAGAAAAAAAAAAATATAAATAAAAAATCATTAGCATTCATGGTGGTCCTCATCATCACCATCATGAGTATCCTCACCGGCATTCATGGTGGTCCTCATCATCATCATGAGCATCCTCACCGGCATTCATCTTGGTCCACATCATCAGCATTCGTCTTGGTCCTCAGCATTATCATCATCAGCATCCTCACCGGCATTCGTCTTGGTACTAAGTATTATCACCATCAGCATCCTCACCGGCATTCGTCTTGGTCCTAAGCTTTATCACTATCAGCATTCATATTGGTCCTCATTCATCTAGGTCCTCATCATCATCAGCATCCTCACCGGCATTCTTTTTGGTCCTCAGCATTATCATCATCAATAACATTCATCTTGGTCCTCATCATCACCATCAGCATTCATCTTGCCCCTCAGCATCATCAGCATCAGCATCGTCATTGGTTGCCCCTCATCAACATTAGCATTCATCTTGGTCCTCATTCATCACCAGCTTTCATCAGCATCATCATCATCATTCATCTTGGTCCTCATCATCAGCATTCATCTTGCCCCTCATCATCTTCATCATTCGTCTTGGTCCTCAGCATTATCATCATCATCAGCATACATATTGGTCCTCAGCATTATCATCATGAGCATCCTCACCGGAATTCTTCTTGGTCCTCAGCATTATCATCATCATTAGCATTCATCTTGGTCCTCATCATCATCACCATTCATTTCATCACCAGCATCACCATCACCATTCATCTTGGTCATCATCATCATCAGCATCCTCACCGGCATTCATCTTGGTCCTCAGCATTATCATCCTCATCAGCATTCATCTTGGTCCTCATCATCACCATCACCATTCATCATCATCAGTAGCAGCATTCATCAGCAGCATCATCATCAACCTTAAAGCTTTAGAAAAGAACTTTTAGTAAATCAATAATAATTAATAATTTTATAAAAAAAAAAAAAAAAAAAAGAATAATAATAATAATAGGATATAATAGTTCAATCTATTTGATGGAAGAAATACATTTTCCCTGGCCAGGCAAATATTTTGGAACATCAAATGATTTTACTGTTTTCAATATCCTAATAATTAAATTTTCAAATAAAATATAATAAAATAAAATAAATTTTTTTTTTTATAAATAATATGTTTATTTTTTACCTTTTTCCTTTTTATTAAAAATAGCTCTTCATGATATAATTTAGTATAATATTTTTATTTATTGAAGAAATGATTATTATTGTTTGTCTACTCTTTTAAACTTTGAAATCAAAATCATACAAAATTTTGAATTTAACGATTCTTTGAGAATGGGAAAATGTATTATAAATTAATCAAAAAACAGAAAGAGAATAAAATAAATATTATATAATAAATATTATAATATAAAAAAGTTTTTTTTATGAAATTATCTTAATTAATTAAATTTTATTAATTACATTCTATTTACAAATTAAAATACATCATTTTCTATTAATAAAAGGAATAAATATAAATTATCAATAATGAATACATGTACTATTATTTTTTTTAAATTTATCTTTAAAATTTTATTTATTGTCCAGATCTTGTTACTCCAGATAGAAGTAGTATGCACCAGAAACCATTGAAACCTGCTTTTTATATTTAAAATTTTTAAAAGAATTTTTTTTTTTTTTTTTTTTTTTTTAAAAGTGAAGATAATTAAAAAAAAATGCTTTAAATTAATCAGTAAAATAAAAGAATTTTAAAAATAAATAATTAATAAAACAACAATACTTAAATCCAAATTTTATCTTTGTTTTTTTTTTTTTTTTTTTAAAAGTGAAGATAATTAAAAGCAAATGCTTTAAATTAATCAGTAAAATTTTATTTAATGTTTTTTATAAAGTTTATAAAGAAAATATTCTAAACTGTTGATATTTGGTAAAGATTTGATGCTGATGAAGTATGCTCTTGCTATTCTTCTTTTGAATTTTCTATATTCTTCATTGATGATTCATAATTATTGTTTGTGGTTGTTTAGCGTGTCTTTCCTTGATGTTTTTTAAACCTTTTATGTATTCTAAAGTAGCTAGCTTAGTCCATTTTGAGGTTAGATTCTTAAAATCGAGTTCTTTTAATGTATTTTCTTGATCGTCGTATAGTTCTTTACATAACCAAATCCAAACTTGATGAAATACCAGGGTTTTGGCATTTCTAGTGTAATGTATTATCATCAAAATTCACTTAATTAATTAATTATAACTTAAATAGTCATTTAATCAAACAATTATAATAATTAATAATTTTAATAATTAAAAATAATTTAATTTAAAAAAATAAAAAAATAAAAAAATAAAAAAAATAAAATTATTATTTTCGAATTTTTCTTTTTATTCAATTTTCTCATAAACTTAAAAATCATATAATTTATTATCTTTATTTTTATTGTCTATTAACTATTTATTTATACTTTAAAGTTCATTTACATTACATAGGTGTTGTTATAATTTGTAATGTAGATGGAGCTACTTTAGTTATAGATAAATAATAAATATAAATAATTCTAATAATCAAATAAATATACAATTCTTTGTTTGTGAAAACTAAAACGGAAAACTGAAAACTAAAAAATAAAAATTTTATTTTTTAAAATTTTCAATTTTTTTATTTTTATTTTATTTTTAATTTTTAATTTTAAATAATAAATTATTTAAAATAAAGGAAAATATAAATATATTATTTAGTTGAGATATAATTATAACTGTAATATTCATTTAATTCTAAAATGCATATGAATACATTACAAATTATTTATCTTTGAATCACCAGGAAGAAACAATAATTGTGTTAAAAAAACTCCCCGTCCGGGAATTGAACCCGGGCCTTTCGCGTGACAGGCGAAAATCCTCACCACTAGACCAACGGGGAAGATCTATTAAAAACTATTTTTTCATGGTCGTATCGTCTATTTTTTTTAAAAAAATCCTTTTATCCAAAATCGAACAATTCAAATAACCTTAAATATTCTAGATCATGAGAACAGAGAATTCTTAGACAGATTGGTCACGTGGATATTTTGCTAAAAAACTTTTTAAAAAATTAAATATTAATTAGATCTTTATTCTGAATTGGAAAAATTGTTTTATATTTTAAAAGAAAATAAATTACAAGAGTTTGAATAAACGTGTATAGATATATATTTTAATTTTTTAAATATTTATTTTTTTATATATATTTTTTTATAAATTAGTTTCTTTTTTTATAAAAATTTTTGGTTTTGTGGTGATAACTCTTGAACTCTTAAATTTCTTTCATAAGAAGCTTTTAAGAAAGGATTTAAACCTGAAATAAAAGCATTACCAGACTGGAACTTGTCTAATCTTCTTAAAAGTTCACATGTTGCATAACGAACTTCATCAGATTTATGGAAAAGACCAACAGCAACAGGGAATAAACCACCATGGGATTTTGGAAGATAGGAAAGGAATTCTGTGACTTGTTCTTCTGTTTTAATAGAATTAAGGAAAGAGTGATAAATTTTCAATACTTCTTTTTCTGGAATATGTTTCTTTTTACGGAGTTTACGAATTGAAGCAAGAGTGGTGTGATCACGTATAGCGCTAGTACGTTTAGTATATTCTTTGTCAAAGAGATAGGTTGAGAATGATTTGGTTTTAGTCCATGCTTCAATACGTTGATGATTAGCATCGATAGCAAGTTGACGAGATTGATCATCAAGGAACTCCTCTTCATCTAATGTCATATCCACAATATGTTGAGTATATTCTTGGAAAAGTGATTTAATTTTATCTTCGCCATAGTGAGCTGAAATGTTGTAATTGACTTCAGCCATAAAATCATTATCGTATTGTGTGAATTTATCTTGTTGTTCTGGATTGATTAAATTTGGATTGATTGTAACTTTACCAGTACTAATATTACAAAGAATATCCCACCATTCAGTACGTTCTTCAAACATTGGATTTGCAACACCTAATATTACACCTGTGCTTGATGGTAATCCTTCAATTAAAGAGTGATGATGTAAATTGAAATTTGGGAAGCATCTTTCTCTTGTACCTTTTAGTGGTGGACAAACCATTGAGCATGCTGCTAATACATAGTTACAAATTTCATCTGCACTACATCCATATCCTAAAAATATAATTCTTTTTTGTGATAAAACACCATTAAAAATTTTCATAACATCATTGCCAAACTTTTGTACCAATCCAATTACTTTATACTATATTAAAATTTAAAACATTAATATTAATATCTATTATTTGCATAAATATATCTATACTCTTTGTATATAGAATACTTACATCACCGACTTCATCTGGGAAATATGTAATTGGTATATATAATGGCATTTTATTACCTAAATATGTAATAGTTGTAGCGTAAATATGTTTATTACGGTCTGGTGATGCACGTAGAATATGTTTTTGAATATCGTTTAATTGTGGTACTGTTGACATATCTAAACTATTTAATGAATTATATAACTCAATAATAACATCGATACTTGGATTGCTATAATATTTTTGCATTGCTAAAACAATAAATGGCTATATTAAAGTAAAAAGAAAAGTTAATAAACAAATAAAACCCCATTATAATAGTATTAATTCAATTTAAAATATTTTACCTTGAATATATTGATAAATGGATGGGTTGAACAAATTGCCATTGATTTGACAACAGCACCTCTTTTGGCTGTATCATCTTTTTGATTATTCATATAATTAAGACAATATAAGAAATCTTTACACTTTTGATCCTCTGGTGGTTCATTTGGATTGGTTGTTGATTCGTTAGATGCTGGTGTATCTTTTGAAGATGAATCCTTATTTTCAGTTGGGTTGGTGGTAGTTGATGGTTCTGTTGCGGTGGTGGTAGTTGTTGTTTCATTTGGATTGCTATTAACTGGTTGTTGTGGGGATGTATTATCAGTTGTAATTTCTGGAGAAGATTCAGATTTTGTTTTACCTTTTGCTTGATCATCTTGAATTTCTGAAATTAATCTTGTCAAATGCTCTAAAAATAATTTTTCATCTGCTGCTTCTATAAATCTAATACCTAAAGCTGTACTTGAATCTGTTAAAACACAATCAAATAATGGCTCTAATTGTGTAAATTCTAAATCTGCATGCTTTTGACTTTATTAAATATTAAAAAAAAAAAAAAAAAAAAAAAGTTAATAATTATATTTTAAATAAATTTAAATATTATAAAAATAAATTAATATTACATTTTAGTTGAAAATGAACCATTGCTTGAACCAATCGAAATGTAATTTTGGTAAAACTCAACAAGGAGTTTTTCTTGATCTAACATTACCCAACCTTTTTCTTCATCAGTTTCAGAGAAACTATAAATATATGCCATTAAAGGTGATGATATTTGTTTTTCAACTTTAGGTGCAGCTGTTGCTGATTTATTATTATTATTATTGTTATTGTTATTGTTATTATTATTATTGGTATCAATTTTTGAAGGTGATTGTGGAGATTGAGAACTTTTGGAAGATGATGATTTTGATTTTTCTGGAGATTTAATATTTTCTGGGACTGGTCTATTTAAAAAGAATACTGTCCAATCATCATTTCTTTTGTGTGCTCCATCTGGTAACATCCACTCTGATAACATCAATTCCATACCACCTGTAGCAATTGGATAAGGATATTGAATATTAACTTTACTACCCTGTAAAATATCAAACTCTGCTAAAAGGATAAACTCTACTAATTTCTTTGATTTAAATCCACCACTGTTCGAAACAATTGTACCATTACTAACACCACCATTTTGTGTTGCATCTGCTGCTGCGACTGCTGCTGCTTGTGTTGCTGTTTGAACTTTATTTAAAATTGATAGTGATAATTGACCCTGTAATAATGGTTGAGTTTGTTGTGCTCCTGTTGTGTGTTGCTGTGGTACAGCTAATGAATTTTGTGATGGTGATGGTGAAGATGATCTACCTGAACCTCCCTCTTTACTATCTTTACTGTTATTCCCACTATTACTCATTTTTTATTCTATTTTTTTTTCTTCTTTATTATATTACAAAAATGATTATACAAAAATTACAATAAAAAAAAAAAAAAAAGATATCTCTTTTCTCTTTCTTTCTTTGATACAATAAAAAAAAAAACTATAATACAAAAACCTATATAATATACACAAAATAAATAAAAAATAAATAAAAGAATAATAGAACAATTAAATAGATATCAATCGAAAAAAAATAAAAAAAAAAAATTTTGATGAGAAAAAAGATTTGTGTGTGTTTTAAAAAAAAAAATAAAAAAAATTTAAAAAAAAATAAATAAAAAAATTAAAAAATTTTTAAAAAAAAAAAAAATCCAACAATTTGGTTTTTTTTATATTTTTGAATTTAAAATTATAATAATTGTGAACCTATATTTAAAAATGGAATGAATTTTAATTTTGATCAATGATTTTTTTTTTTTTTTGTAAATTTTTTTTATTATTTATTTATTTATATATATTATAGTTTTTTTTTTTGAAATAAATTTATTTAATATTTATAATCTTTGACATATAATGATTCACTGGCAGAGGCTGAAGCTTCTTCACCTTCATATTTACCTAATTGAGCAAGTGAGTTGCATTTGGCACGGTGTAAGTAAACTTTACGGGCACCTTCAACATTAGCAGCATCACCTTTCCAAGTGCTAATAACTGAAGCTTGTAAAGCACGACCATAACTGAATGATAAGGACCATGGACGATTTGGAACAACATTCATAGCATTTAAGTTTTGAGTGGCTTCAATTTCAGTTTGACCACCTGATAAGAAAACAACACCTGGAAGAGCTGGTGGAACAGTACGTTGGAGAGTACGAACAGTTAATTCACCGATCTTTTTGGCAGTTGGTTTTTCACCAGTGTAACCAGTACCAGCTAAAACCATATTTGGTTTTAAGAGAGCACCTTCTAATAAAACATTGTGGTCATTGAGAGCTTTGAAAACAGCAGCTAAGACTTTTTCAGTAATTCTAGCTGAATCTTCAATTGAGTGGTCACCATCCATTAAAATTTCTGGTTCGACGATTGGAACTAAACCATTTTCCTATTTTAAAAAAAAATATTAATATATATGATAAATATTAATATATGATAAATATTATTAATAGTATGATAATTACTTGGCAAATGGCAGCATAACGAGCAAGGGTGTGAGCATTTTCTAAAATTGATAAGTTTGATGGAAGATTTTTGGCAACATCAATCTTTAAGACAGCTCTCCATTTTGCGAAACGAGCACCAGCTTCATAATATTTCTTACAACGATCACCAAGACCATCTAAACCTTGAGTTGAGGTTTCACCATCAGTATTTGGGATTGGAGTAACACCTTTATCGACTTTGATACCAATGTGGATACCTTTATTCTTTAAAACGGTTGCAAATGGAGTACCATCAGCCATCTTTTGGTAAAGAGTTTCTTCATATAAAATTACACCACCAATAAATTTAGTAACATCACCTTCAGTGCCAATTAAAAGTTCTCTGTAAGCTCTTCTGTTTTCTTCAATATTTTCTAAATTAATTTTTTGGAAACGGCTACCAATGGTACCAGTTGATTCATCAGCTGCTAAAATACCTTTACCTGGTGCAACAATAGCTTTCTTTATAAAATTTTAGTTTTAGTAATTTAATAAATTATATTAATACTTATTTATTATTTATGATTTTTATTTATTTTATTTATTTTTATTTTTATTTTTCATATGAATAAAATTTAGTCCGACGTCGGAGGATTATTTTTTTTTTTTTTTTTTTTTAAAAAAAAATCATAGGAGATAAAAACCATATAATTTTTTTTTTTTTTAAAAATTATTTATATAATTATTATTTTTATTAAAGTTTTTTAAACCTAAAGTATTATTTGTCAGTAACTTACAGCAGTAGCAATTAATTCTTCTTGATATTTTGAGGTGTTCATTTTAATATTATATATGTGTTGATAAATAATTATATTGGGAAAAAAAAAAAAAATTAAAAAATTAAAAAAAATTTTGAACCCAAAAAAAAAAAAAAAAAAAAATAAAATAAAAAATATTTTAAATAAAAAAATAAAATAAAAAAAAAAAATTAATATTTAAAAATTTTTTATAAAACTGTAGTCTGGTTTCTTTTTATGGGGTTCACTACTAAATTTAATATAAATTTAATCTTTTTCCTTCTTATATCCATTATTATAATAATAAATTAAAATTTAATCACCAAAATAACAATAAATAAATACAAAATATATTTATATATAAAATTAATTGGATTCCTTTTTTAAATTTCTTTAAAACAATTAATTTGAAATAATAATTAATAAATTAATAGTTTTTTTTTTCTGAAAATAATTATTTGTTGGTAAAAACATTCTAGATTTGTATATTCATTGTAATAATTTCAAATCAAAGAATATTTTTTATTTTTTTTTATTTTTTTTATTAAAATAATTTTTTTTTAAAAAATGAAAAATTTTAATTTTTTTTTAATTTTTTAATTATAATTATTTTTATTATTATTATTTAGATTTTTAATATGTCTAATAAAAAAGAAGATTTAGAGAATGATCTAGAAGATATTGAAGAAGATTTGTCAAATGAAGAATCATCAGACGATGGAGATGATGGTGTTACACAAACAAAGAAAAGAAAGAAACCATCAGCTGCAACTCCCAAAGTAAAACCACATCCACCAATTCCAAAATTACCCTATACTGACCGTGTTTTTATTGTTCAAGATAATAGCAGTAATAGTGAAGATGATTTTATAAATTTTGAAATTATAACATTACCAAGTCCAAAATATGGTAAGAGAATTATATATTATGATTATATATTATTTTAATTATTAATTTTTTTTTACAATCATTTAGAAAAAACTTATTGTAGATATATTAAAGATAAAATAAATAATAAAATTTTAGAAATAAATAAATTTAATAGCAATCCATCATCTTGGTTCATTGATAATGGTGCTAGAAATGATGGTTCAATGTACATTGCTTCAAATATCGATCCATTATTTTTATTAATACCATTTTTAGAAAAGAACAAAACACAAAACAAAAATGAATATTTCGAAGTTTCCTCTGTTGTAAATGATCCAATATATAGCAATCTTTCAAAAATTACATTTAAAGATGAACAGTTAAAATTAATTTGTGATTTTAAAGGTAATTATAGCATTTTTATTAATTATATAACATTATTAGTTTATTAATTTTTCTTTATTTTTTATTAAAATTAATAGATTTTGCAGGATCAAGTTTATATAAATTAGATGACGAAAAATTGTTACTATGGTTAAGATGTAAAGTAAAGAATATAGCAAATCATTTAAAAGATAATGATATAGATATTTTTAAAACTTCAAATCATGTAAAGAATGTTTTGTCATGGGAAACTTTATATACAATGTCAATTGGTTTTATTAGCGAGTATCTTTCAGATGCACACATCAAATTATTAAATGAATCATTTGGTTTATTATCTGACAAGGCTAAAGAGACCATCCAAAAAGAATCTGCTGATTTAGTATATACTGAAAAAATTATAGAACCAGAACCATCTAAACCAAAGAAAGCTGCATCAAAAAAAGGTTCTGCAAAAAAAGCTGCCGCCAAACCAGCTCCATCAATAACAACAACAACTTCACCATTTTTTACAAAAGTTTCATCAACATCATCAAGTGATGACAATAAACCTAAAGGATCTTTAATTTCAGATTATTTTAGTAGAAAATAAATAAATAAAAATTTTTTTTTAATACATAAATTTATTATTAATTTAAAATTGTATTATAGAAAATTAAAAAGATTAAAAATTAAAAAAGATAATGGTTTTTTGTAAAAAAAATAAATAAAATAAATAGTTTATGATTTCTTTATTAAATTTGGTTGGATCCTTCTTTTTGGTTTGGCTCCACTTTCGTTATTACTACTATTATTATTATTATTATTATTATTTAAAGATGATGTGCTTGCTTGTTCAGTTGATGATTCATTTTCTAATTTCTGTTTTTTATTTTGTTCATTATTATTACTGTGGTTATTGTTATTATTATTTGTATCATTTAATTCATCATTTTCATTAGAGTCTTCATTTTTTCTCTTTTTATTATTAGGATTGTTTAATGTATCAATTGAATCATTTGAAATGGTTGTATTTAAAATTGCTCTTTGTTTTAAAATTAAAGTTTCTTTAAATTGCTCTATATTTGATTGTTCATGCTCTGATAAAGGTTCGCCCAATTCATTTGGTTGGAAAGAAATATAGGAACAAAAACCATCGGACGAGGTGATTATTAAAACCAAACCATCAGATGACCAACTGATATCGGTAATTGCAGAGTAGTGTAAATTGGAGACAACAGCAATTGGTTTTCTAGTTTGCTGAGTATCATATATTATAACAGAGTCAGTTGAGGAGATTGCATAAATCATACGATAATTTAAATTGAAAAGTTTGTTTCCAGTGCTACTATTCTTAAAACTATTACTATTTACATCTTGAATATTATCATTTTCATATTGTTCTGGTTGTTGTTGTTCTCTTAATTTATAAATGATTGGACTGAATTTAGCAACAACAGTCGGTGAGTCTGCTGGTAAATGTACTATTGGACGATCTCTGATATATCTGGAAAATATATATGATGTGCTAATGTATTTTGAGGTTGGTGATTCTTTAAATTTACCTGTGGTTGTAATAAACATTAAGCCATCTGGGGACCAGGTTGGTCTTCTAAAGAAAGTTGATGCTCTTTCGTCATAATACATTCTGTGTGCTACTAAACTTTCATCCTTTAATGATTTTGTAGTTTCATCTGGTTCGCCATCGATATCCATTCTATTATTTGATTTCTTTGTTGTTATTTTGGTTTCCTCTTCGTCATCATTACTATTGATGTTTGTTTGATCTTTATTGTAATATCTTCTTGTTAAAACATTTGCAATTGTTAAATGTAATTTCTTTCTACGTTCAGGCTGAATATCACTTTGCTGTGATTGAATTGGTGTTGGTACTGTTGTAGTAGTTGGGTTATTATCTTTTTTATTATTTTCTTCTTTATCATTTATGTTGTCTTCATTATTGTTGTTTGTTGTATCAGTTATTGTTGTAGGGGTATTTACTGTTGATTGTAAAGTCTGGGATTTTTGTTTTTTTTTCTTTTCATTTCTATAAATTCTACATGTACCATCTGAACTTTGAGTTATCATATATTCATTTAATGGATCCCATGATACACCTTGAACATAATGACTATGTTCAGTAATTAATTGTTGATGTGTTTCTAATTTAAAATAACATGTTAATACTTTAGATATTGTGTGTATGTGTAAATATGTGGATGAGACTTACTTGTTAATGGATTCCAAATTGAAATACTATTATCAGTACTAACAGTTGTTAAATATAATCCATCTAAAGACCAAGATAAATCATAAACATCAGTAGTAACACGTAAAATGGATACAATTGACCAAGTTTCCTTCATAAATGAAACATCAGTTGGATTAAATTTGGTATTGTCATTGGTTGGGTTATTAATTGATGTTAATTTCCAAATTACAACTGAACCATCATCACTACCTGATGCTAATAAATTACCACCTGGTGAAAATCTTGCTACATTAACTGGTTTGGTATGTTTAGTTAAACTTGATAAATATTCAATTGATAAATGACCTTCTTTATCTTTTGTATAGGACCATATCTATATAGATAATAAAAATAAAACCATTATTAATATTTATAAACATCACCACATATACATACATATATATTATATGTTATAAATATTACTTTAATTTCATTATCGAAACCTGTTGTACAAAATTTATTTGTTGTTGGATGAAAATCTACTGAATAAATCGGATCTTTATTATGCCATAATATCATTACAGTTTCACATTTCATTTTTTTATTTTTAATATTAATATGAATACAATTATTAAATATATGTTTATTGAGTGTACGTGTATATATATTTATTAATAAAATGAAATGTTATTGCTAATATGCTCTATCTTTATAATTTAATAAAAAATATTTAAAAAATTTTTAAAAAAATTTTTAAAAAAATTTCTAAAAAAAATTTGTTTGGGCGCAAAATAAAGTAATTTTTTTAAAAAAAAATATTTACTTTTATTTATTTTTTTATTATTATTTGGGTAATTTACAGAGTTATTCATTTAAAATGTAAATAAATTAAATGAATTTAAACGAAGTGGTATTATGAAAAACAGGTATATTTAAAAGAAGAGAAAAAGGCCGACGATATACTATATTATTATTATTATTATTTACAACTATTAATAGCCAAAATTATTATTTACCTCCTGGTAAACCAACCAATGCAAAAACGAAAGAGTTGTGGTCAATTTGATTTATAAAAATACTACTTGCAAGTTTATCATTTTTCTGTGGATAAATTCTACCAGATTTAGAATCATATTTAAAATAGGCTGGTCCGCTTGCAACAATTTCTGATGGTGATTCCACTCTTTGAACCGATACTTGAATGGTAACTATAAATAAAGAAATTAAAAGAAATTAGTATCATATGATCAAATACTGGGGGTGTGTTATATATATAGAAACATACTATCTGGGTTTTGGTCTAATTTAGGAAGTGTAACTTTGGAATAGTTTTTACATAATGGAATTCTAAATAAAAAAAATAAAAATTTTCAAATTAATATTATTTCCTTTTTTCTTTTCTTTTTTTATATATTTACACAAATGGGTCTTTTTGTGGAGTTAAAGTAAGTTTAAAAGAATCAGCAGTAACTAAATTTACACCAATTTCGAATCTAACATTCATAATACTATCTACTGAACCTTCTTTAACTTCAATTCTTGAAATACCATTCATATGACTTAAATTAAATACATATGAGCCTGGTTTAAGTGTTTCACTTTTACCGTGACCATCACCATGTTCAACTAATAATGATAAAAGAATTTAATTAATAAAAATTTAAATATTAAATATTAATATTATTATAACTTACATATTTTACATTCTACACTTGCACCTATAATACAACTTAAAAACTTTTTATAATATTTATCACCACCTTTTAAAACAATTACATCACCTGAATTATAAATAACTTCATCTTCTCTTAAATTAGTTTCTGTGTAAAAGGCTACTGTTCTTGGGTCAAAGTCCATTTTTTATTATTTGTTTATTATTTTTATTTCCAAAAAAAATATGTCTATGTATAAAAATTACTATTTCTATTTCTATTTCTATTTATTTACTATTACTAATATTACTATTTGTTATTAAAAAAAAAAAAAATAAATAAGTTTATGATTAAAAAAAATTTAAATAGAAATTTTTAAAGTTTTAATTAAATTTTTTTTTTTTTTTTGTTTTTTTATATTTATTAAATAATGAATGTTGTGGTTAGGGGGGTTCAATATAAAATAGCGTTAAAAAATACACTTTCACACACACTCACACACTCACATACACACCATTCTCAAACCCACATCACAATAAACACACCCCACCTTCAAATTTAATTTAATTTTTTATAAAAAATAAAATTTTTTTGTAAATCAAACAAACTTTTTTTTTTTTATTTATTTTAAAAGCTAAATTTGTTATATTTGATGTCTATTTTAAACTCAATCAAAATTAAAATTTCTTATTTTTTTAATAAAAAAAAAAAATTATTTTGAAATACTAAATGTGAAAATAAGTGGTAATATTAATTATCATTATCATATAAAGAAAAAAAAAGGGTTTTTTTTTTTTTTTGTGTGTATATTTGTTTTAAATGTATTGTGTTGTTTTTTTTAATTGTGTTGTAAAAAAAAAAGAGTGTTAATATTGTGTGTGTTTTATTTTTTATTTTATATGGATATTCTCTAAATTTAATTTATTATATTGAGATCATTATAGTAAATAATGGATACAATAATTTCATTCGAAATCTTAATAAGTCACTTTTTAGATTATATATCTTTTTTATTATACCAGATTATATGATCAATGAATGAAAAAAAATTAAAAAATAAAAAAAAAAAAGAAAAAAATTAAAAAAAAATTAAAAAAAAGTTTTTTATTTATAAATTTAATTAATTTTTCTGAATATCAATACCAAACTTATTAATTCTTTCTACAAGTGGAATTTTTGAGTTACATTTATAACCTAAAATTGTGAAAGTTTTAATATTTATATTTTGAGGTTCTCTTCTGGATTTATCAATAATTAGCTTCTTTAGAGTTTTATTTTGACGTGATGCTGATTCTTGTACTTCTTTATAACTATTTGAAAATTTTTTTTTACCATTCAAATAGTATCTGTACATTGTGCCAAATTTAAAAAAAAATTTAACCTCTATCATTATAATTTTTTTTCGACTATAAATAATTAATAAATTTTGTTAGATTTTTCTATTTTTTCTTAATTTAACTATGAGATATTTACTTTTTATTTTTTACAAATAGAATATCTGGTCTTCTTGATCCTTTCAATGAACCTGGTGTGAGTCTAATTTCTATTTCGTTTTTTTCTTCGTTCCATACACTGATATCTCTACTTAATTTTACAATTTGATTGAAATCACTTCTATAATTGTATTTGTTTATAACTGTAACATCACAAAAATATTCAAGTAGATCAATGATTAAATTTCTAAAATCATTTTCTTTTGATGTGTAATTTGTTAATTTGTTTGCAATATAACCTTTACATTTTTTTAACATTTTTTTCCAATTCATTTTCTTTTCTCTGATTTGTTTTCTTTTATCTCTATAATTATTTCCATTGTTTTTATCTATATCATTAATAGAATCTCTCAATGATTCTAGATCTAACATTTTTCTATTTTAATATTTTTAATAGTATAATTTAAATTATTTTATATATTGTATATATTATTTATATATTATTTATATTATTTATATATTATTATTTTTATTTTTATTATTTATATTTTTATTATTTATTTGTATATTATTTATTTGTATATAATTTATTTGTATATTATTTATTTATATATTATTTATTTGTATATTGTTTTTCTATTTAATTTTTTTGGTAAATTAAAATTAAAACTCAATTTTTTTTTTAAAAATATTTAATTTTTTGTAATTTTTTTTAATTTTATAAAAAAAAAATCAAAATTTAATTTTATTTAATTAAAATAGTGGAAAATGATTGGAAAATAAACTTAAAAATATTTTTAAGTAAATTCTAAATTTAACGACAATTTTTTTAATAAAAAATAATAAATAAAAATCACCAATCTAATATTGCAAAAATATCAAAACAATTCTTAAGTAGCTATTACGAATGGTCAACAATCTCAATAAATCAATTCATAAAATATAATAATAATGATAATCAAACGAAAACCAAATACTTAATTTATATAAAAAACCACTACTTTATTTCAACCACAATTCAATAAAATATAGAAAGATACGAAAATATATTATTATTTATTTATTTAAATTAATTTTTTAACTTTTTTAAAAAAAAAAAATTTATTTTTATTTTTTTTTATTTTTTTTTTAAAAAATTTCAAATATTAAATTATATCAAATTTTAAATTAAAAAAAATGGAAAAATCAATTCTATTTTCGGATGCCATACTTTTAAATATTTTTTCATTTATTGTAAATCACACTTCTAAATTTAACAATATTTTTAATAAAAGATACAAAATAATAAATATAGAGCACCTTTCAAATATTGCAAAAACATCAAAACAATTCTTTAAAGTAATTTCAAAAATAATAGATAATAGCTATTACGAATGGTCAAAAGTCTCAATAAATCAATTCTTAAAATATATAAATAATAATGGTTCTAATCCTAACGAAAACCAGTCACTGAATTTATATAAAAAACCACCACTTTATTTCAATCACGATTCATTAAATAAAATTCCATTGGTCATAAGCATAGAAATATACGAAAAGATATTTTCAAGAGTTGAAGCATATTATATACCGGGTTATTTTGATGTATATCATGCCCAAACAAAAAAATATTTAGAAAGTGTAATATATATGCCATCTTTAAAATCAATCGAACTTTATGAATGTGATCTACAATTTAACACATATCGCAATATTTTAAATCAACTAATATCACCACCATCACCATCACCATCAACATCAACATCAACATCAACATCAACATCAACATCAACATCAACATCAACATCAACATCAACATTAAATGATCAATTAACATTTAGTGGTAGTTTGGAATCGATATCGTTGGATTATTGCAGCTGTGGGGAGTTCTACAACCAAAATGGCAAGCGCGTCAACGAGGGGTCCACTGACAAAGAAACCTTCAATATCCATTTAAAACGAAACCTTAAATTCTTCAAAAACCTATTCAAATACCATCATAATTCATTAAAATACATCTTTATTTCATCACAAAACAATCAACAAATCAATATAGTTTTGCAAATTTTAAAATATCTCGATAAAATCGTTGGTATAGATAACAATAAAATCAAATTTCATACTGTCGACTACTCATTTTTTCTCCTTACAACCTATAGTTTCGAACAACTTTTATCAAAAAACGAACATATCGGGTATAGTGCTGAAGAGATAAATTTATTTAGAAGAATCATAGAAAATCAAAAAAAACTTTTATCTTTATTAAAATAAAATTATTTTTCCAACCTTTTAAGTCAAAATGTTTCAACCTTTTTTTAAACCCCACAAAAAAAAACAAAAAAAAAAAAAAAAATAAAATTTTTTTTATTTTAAATATTTTTTTTTTTTTTTTTTTTAAATTAATTATTTTTCTTTCATTTTTTTTTCAAACTACTCACATAATAAATTAAATAATAATGATATTTAATAAATAATATAAGTTAGAAAATGTCTACAATTTTTAATTTTACATCATCTAAATCACCTCCATATAATAGTTATAATAATAATAATAACAATAATAATAATAATGACTCAATGTTTAGATATAACCAAGGAAATGAAATTACATCAATATTATTTCTTTCGTTAATATCAGTATTTGTTTTTATCCTATCTATAACTTTATTAAATTTTATTAAATCATTATTACTATATGTAAGCATTCAAAATATAATATGCAGCTTATTATTTTTAAATATTTCATCTTCTAACATATATTATTTTTATATATTTCTAGAATGAATTAAATGAATTTAAATATAAAATTAAAAAATATTTTTTAAAATATATCGAAAAAATATTTTTTTGTTTTGGTATTTTAGTTATGTTGTGGTATATTGCAGAATCACTAAACTTGATCAATTTAGTAGAGTCAATATTTGATGAAAATATATTAACAAGTAAAATCAAAATAAATAATAATAATGGCGAATTAATAAACAAACAGGTAGATGAAATTATTATTGCGACTACAACAACCAAAACAACCAAAGTTTCAAAATTTGAAAATGATTACATTTCAATAGAAACAAAACTAAATAAAAATAAATTCCTCAATCTATCAGTTCAAATCATCATTACGCTATTTATATACTATTTCCAAACGCTATACTATTGGATATTCCAATTAATAATTTTAAATAAAACATCATTATCAGACAAACACACCAATAATACCAATAAACTATTTAATATTATTACACCATTAAACCTAATAATAAACCACTACAATAAATCATTTAGTATTATCAATGATAAAAATTATAGTTTGTCCAATAGCAACAATAACAATAATAAAAACAATCCAAACAATATTAAAAAATATATATTTAAATTTCAAAACGAATATATTGAACCTATGGTAGAAAGAATGTTAGACTTGCCATGGATAACCATACTTTTAATACTATTAATTTCATGGCTATCAATTAGAATGTATTTAGAAAACGTACCAATTCATTCACTTAGTGGCAAGTGGAGTTTAGAGAATATTTTAGAAAGTATAACTTATTGTACAATAGGCTGCTTTATATCATCACTTATTATATTTTTATATTCAATTTTGTTTTTAAATTACAATAATAAAGTTTTAAAAGATTCAATAAAAATAACTAGCAGTAAAGATAGTAGCAATAAAGATGATAATGGTAGCAAAAAACCAAATAAAAAGAAAAAACAAGTCTCTTCACCAAACAACAATAATAATAATAATAATAGTAAAACCACATCCCCAATTTTAAATAATAGTGACGATGAAAAAGAAACAATTGATAAAATCAACGCAACTCATAATAACAAAAATGAACAAAAAGAAGACAGTGAAGAGAAAGAAGAAAGTATATCGTTTGATTTCGCGGGATTAATATATATTTTAAAAATAATAACCTTAGTTTGTGCAATCATTGGAATAATTTTAGTAAATATTGGTTTAAATAATATCAATAGCCAACAACTTTTAGCTAGAACAACAATATTTAGCACCAGTGAATTATCAAATACCAACAATAACTATGACTCCTCATTTGTACCAACTGTAGTTACTAATTTAGATGAAAATCAAAATATTATAACAAATCTTAGTCCAAGCTCTCAAAAAATTGAAGATCTGCCACAAATTTTAGAGCCACAAATTTTAGAGCCACTATCTATTCCATTATTTCAGTTCCAACAACAACAACAAGATCCCCAACAAAATCAACAAGAAGACTCTAGGGAGAATATCCAAGATGAACAAAAAGAGGATAAATTTGAAGAAATACATTCACAAACTGAAGCATCTCCAGGTCAACCTCAATCTGAACAACCACAATATGATCAACAAAAAGAAGAAAAAGAAGAAAAAGAAAATGTATCAGGTAAAGAAAATGAAAAAGAAGAAAAAGAAGAAAAAGAACAAACCAAAAATGAGCAAAGATCAGAGGCTGTTGAACCACAAGAGATATCATTTGAGCAGTATCAACAACAAGAGTATCAAAATATGCAAAATGATAACTCTAATATAAAACAATTAAATCATGAAGATTTAGAAAAAGATAACGAAATCGAATTTAGTGATGATACAATTGACCAAGAAGAAGAATCGTTAGAGGAAAAAAGAAAATCCTTTAGTAAATTTTTAGAATCAATAGACCCAGAAGAACTTGATATAATTGAAAGTGATTTAAAGGATAGTTTTAAAAAAATGCACAAAGACTCTATAGAGCAAATTAAACAAAACCCAGAAAAACAAGAACAACAACAGCCACAATCACCACAACAACATGAAAAAAGTAAACCACAACATAATTTAGAAGAACTTAAACCAACACAAGGTGACAAAATGGAATCAATATCAAAAGAATCATCAATAATTACCGAAAATATACCAAGATCATTAAATGTTAATAATCATGAAATTTTCCAAAATAATAATACAATAAATAGTAACAACACCACAAAGAAAACAGCAACCAATAATAATAGCAGTAACCAAGGTGATTTAGATATTTATAATTTTTTAGTTTCAATGGTAAATAGAACCACAAAATCATTCTATGGATGCTTCAATAATAGTTACAGAAACGGAAATATGGTATTAATCAATATAATTCTATTATCAATAATAATATTCATTTTAAATCCTATGTCATTGACAGTATTACCATTATTAGCTCATTTATCCAATATCAATAATTTATGTGGTGACTATTCAGAACCATTCAATTCAAATAATGATAATAATAATAGACAAAACAACATTAAGAAAAAGGAGGATATAGTTAATTTAATCTCACCAATTAAAAATGATTAATAAAATAAAATTTAAAGAGTCACTAATTTATAAATTATCTATTACCAAAATAGTGTAATTTATTTATTTGTTTTTTTCCTTTTTTTTTTTTTTTTAAATTTTTATTTTTTTTTTTTTTTTTTTTGATTTATTTTTTTTTTTAAAAAATTTTTTTAAAATTTTTTTTTTTTTTTTCATTTTCATATTTTTCGTTTTACCCTTATTTTTTTTTTTTTTTGTAATATATAAATATTTTCTTTTTTTAAATTTAGAAAAAGAAATAAAAACAAGAAAAAGAAAATGTTAGGATTAAGAAGTGCAACAAAATTATCAACTTCTGGTCAACAAATTTTTGTTAGAAATATTATTTCAGTCAAAAGAAGAAGTAACAAGAATTCTGGCCTTGAATTTGGTAAAAAAATCAATTACAAAGATTTAAAAAAAGTTGAACCAATCCAACCAAAAACCTACGAAAATACTGAAAAAGAATTATCAAATAAAGAAAAACTCAACAATTTACAATCATACGAACCAAAAACTGAAAACTTCTATTATGTACAAGATTTCTCAAAATTAGGTATTTTATATAAACCATCAAAAGATATTGAAGATTGGGCTTTCGTAAGTTTAAATTTAAATATAATTATTATATCAACCCATTCACCCATCCACCCATCCACCCACTCATCACCCAAATATTAATAATTTATTTTTAAAAATAACAATAATAATACATATAGTTTGAAAAAACAGATGAATATGGTAATGAATATTATTCAGGTGATGGTTTAAAATTATCAAATAAATTTAAAATTGAATTAGGTAAAAGTTCAAATGGACATAGTGTTCCATTTCCACGTATTTCAGGTAATTCAGCCCCATTAGTTTCAGTACCATCACCATATGGTCAAAATTACAAAAGAGCAATGTTAAACAATAGAGAAAAACTCAATGTTTTAGATTTATCAACATTAACTTCAATCGAACACTTTATCAAAACACAAGTTGCCAATGATATTGTTGGTAGTTACAGTATTCACACTACTACACCAGGTGCTATTCAAAGCTCAGGTATCGATTTCGTCAATTTATATGAATCAAACCAAAATAGAAAATATATTTCCGACTACTTTAAAAAGATTTCAAAGGTATTCTATTTAATGTCTGTTGCACCAAAACCACAACTTTCAATTATCGATGGTTTAACTGTTGGCGCTGGTTTAGGTTTCACAGCAAACTCTGGTTTCCGTGTTGGTTCTGAAAATTCAATCGTTACAATCTCTGATTGTGCCCTTGGTTTCTTCCCAAATGCTGGTAATGTTAGATTATTAAATCGTCTTCCAGATGGTATTGGTCTTTATTTAGCTTTAACTGGTCGTCGTATTAGAGGTACTGAGCTTCACGAAGCTGGTATCACTGACTTTTTCGTTTTAACTGAAGATATTCAAGGTTTTGATAGAAATCTTTCCCACTGCTTCCCAAAGAACCACAACAGATTATTCGAAAGTATTGTTCTTTCAACAACTGAACCAAGATCCTATTTAAATGGTAAGAAAACTCACTTAACCACTCATCAAGATGCAATTAAACGTTGTTTCGATAATAAAACAACCATCGAAGAAGTTTTACAAGCTCTCGAAAACGAAACTGAATTTGCTGAATGGGCCGAACGTTGTATTAGAAATATTAGAAGATCTTCACCAATTAGTATTAAAGTAAGATAAATATATATTTATAAAACTATATATACACATATACATTTTATTAATTTCTTTTTTTTTATAAATTAGTTAACCATGAGATTATTTAATGAAACCCCAACTGATGGTAAAGGTAAAGATTATTACGAAAGAGATTATAATATTTCAATGGCATTAACTAGAGATCACTCAGATCTTTGGGAAGGTATTCAATCACTTTTAATTCAAAATAGAGAACCAATGTGGAGTTATAAGAGAGTTGAAGATGTTCCAGACTCACTTATCGATGAAATTATAAATTATAAACCAGAAGAAAAAGAATTACAAATGAAATTAGTAGATCTCAAATCAACATTTACTTTATTCGAAAATATTCTCCTCGAATACACCAACGCCAACCAAATCCTATTAACCGAAGAAGAACATCAAAACTTCAGAAACTTTGAAACCCCATCATTCCCAGACAAATTCGAAGAAATTCTTGAAATCTATGATAAAGGTGCTAGATCAGAAGCTTTCTATGAAAATAAAGTTTTATATGAATTTTTACAAGAAGTTGAAGAAGGAGATTTCTAAATTAGTTAATAATTTATATATTTTCAATTAAAAAAAAAATAAAAAAAAAAATTAAATAAACTAAAACTATATTAAATTTTTATTGTAATTAAATTAAATATTTCTTTTTTATTTTTAAAATATCTATTTATTATTTTTTTTTAATATTGCAATATGTAAAAAAGTAATTTAATATGTAAAAAAGTATGTTCAGTTTACACACAAGTTTTTAAAATTAAAAAAGAGATAATTTATTTTAAACAAATAATTTATTTATAATTTATTATAATTTATAATTTATAGTTTAATTATTTTCATTGTCATTTCGATATTATGGTTTAACCCCAAAAAAAAAAAAAAAAAAAAAAAAAAAAAAAAAAAAAAAAATAATACATCGTTTTCATTAAATACGAAATGAAAAAAAAAAAAATTTTATTTTTTTTATTTTTTTTTAATTTTTTTTTTAATTTTTTTATTATTTTATATTATTTTTTTTTTATTATTTAATATTGTTATTATTTTTTAATTTAAAATTGTTAAAAAGAATATTATTTAAAATTTAATACATTTTTTAAATTATTTGTATTTTTAAAATAAGCAGTAGTAATAATAGTAATAATAATAATAGTAATATATAGAGATACATTAGTTTAATAAAATGGCAACACAAGCAATTGTTATTACAACAGAAAAAGTATTACAGGCATTTATAGCATTTAGTACCAATTTATCATGTATACCAGTAGTTTGGCATTGTATAAAAAGAGGGTCAGCATATGAAGGTATTATTGGTATTGCTTGTGCAGTTTCATCAATGATGTATCATGTTGGTGAAGTTTTCGAAAATACATGGTGGTTTAAATTATCGGGTATGACATCAGGTCAATGGCATCGTTTAGATAATATTTTTACAATTTTAACTTTTCAAGCTTTAACCTTCTTTTTAATGGATATTCAAAATCAACAAGTTGCCGATGCTCTTCGTTGGACCTTCTTAGTTTTTACCTTATATTGTCAAGAAAGAGCTCCATGGGAAATCATTTTTACTGTTATTCCAATCGTTTCAACTTTAGTATTATTAATTATACGTCACGTATTAAAACAAAAGGTCCCAGAATGGATTAAAACTAAACATTTCCTTTATGGTATTGGTTTCTTTTTCGTTGCTGCATTCTTTTTCGTTCGTGGTTTAGATGATGATAATGACTACCTCCGTATCAATCATGGTATTTGGCATTTCTTTATTGGTGTAGCTTTTTATTTCATCTTTTTATCAAAGGAAAAATTAAATGAAAAAAATCTTTTACATGTAAGATATATCAATTTAAAATATAAATAATATTTAATTCTATTAATACTAACTACATTTTTTTTTTTATAGAAAAACTTTTAAATTAAATAATAGACATAATGCGAAGATTATAAACCAATAAATAAAAATAAAATAAAATAAAATAAAAAATAAAAGAGAAAAAATTAAAATAATAATAATTTTTCTATTTAGTTTTAATTAAAGCTACTGGTTATCTTTGTGGTTATATTTTTAAATTGTACTTGAGAAATAATTAAAAATTAGAAAAAAGAAAAATTCAAATTTATGAAATAACTATTTGATAGATAAAAAATATTTAATTGATAAATTTTCATTTTTTATTGATTATATATTTATTTATAGATTAATTAAATAAAATTATGAAAAAAACAATTTAAATTAAAAAGAAATCATACAATTTACAAAAAAAAGCTTGAAAAATATCATCAAATTGGCCGCATAGCATAGTGGTATTGCGCTTCCCTAGTAAGGAAGAGGTCGTGGGTTCGATCCCCGCTGGGGCCTTTTTAGAAGTTAGGTTTCTTCCCGGAGATTTTGTATATTTAAATCAGAGGGGAGCAAAGATAGCCAAGTGGTCGAACGAATTTACAGGGGGAGCAATGATAGCCAAGTGGTTGAACGAATTTCCTACACATGAATGCAGTGTGGTAAAACTCATCTAAGTATTAAACTACAGTGACCAACTTGTATGCAGTGTGGTAAAGCTCATATAAGTATTAAACACATACCAAACAAACTGATGGCTTAATGAATCATCTTCACTTTTTTTAAAAAAAAAGATAGTAAATGGGTAAAGATCTTCTAAACCTCTTAAAATCTCCGTTAAGTCTTTTATTTTGGAAGAATGCAATTAATTCTGGGTTAATAGATTTTAGAATTGAAATTTCGTTTCAAATTGACTAACTTGGATTAAGATTTGGAAGGCAGAATGAATCGATAAATAAATAGAGTTGGATGGATTGCTTTTCTTATTTTTAAATGACATGATTATTTTGATGATTATTACTCCATATTAATATTATTTACTCTATTATCTTAATATTATAATCAAATAAAATTAAATAATTAATAAATAAAAATAATTAAAATAAGTGTAAATAAAATATAATATAAAATAAAATAAAATAAAATAAAATAAAATAAAATAAAATAAAATAAAATAAAATAAAATAAAATAAATAAATAAATAAGTGAAATAAAACTTTTTTAAAAAAAAAATAATACCCAAAATTAAAGAAAAAAAATGATTTTAAGATTTTATAATAATTTTTTAATGATAATGAAATGGTATAAATAGTTTATTTATTTATTTATTTTATAAAAAAAAAATACCACGGGGAGGTTAGTTATATTAGAGCCTACCATGCCTAAACTAAGCGCCCCCCATAGTGGTTAACAATCTATACTGCATCTCTCAGTATGCCTTAACCACTACATGGAAATATATTAATTTTTATTCTTTTTATAAACTATCTTTTAGTTTTTTTTTTTAATTTATGGTATTTTAATTTTTAAACAATGTTTTTTTTATTATTAAAAAATAAAAAAAAATTTTAAAATTTTTAAATTAAAAATTTAAATACAAATAAATAATTTTTATATATATTTTAAAATTTTTAATATTTTTTTTCAAATATCAATGAACACATTCACATAAATGGTTTTAATATAACATTACAAATCCCATCAAAAATAAAAAAATAAAAATTTTTGAAAATATAATACCTGCAAGTAAGAAATTAGAAAAATTTCATAAAACAAAAACAAGCTTTTTGAAAATAAAAACAATTTACTAACTTAAACTATTTTATTTTGTAAATCTAGTGATTTAGAACCTGAATTTCACATAATATGTTACACTTATTGTTTCAGAGCTTTTTCATCAAGTGGTTGTTTCAGAATCCGTAAATTTAAGTAGCAATACAATTCATGTTTCAGGATCTGTAAATTTATGTAGCAGTACATATCATATTTCATCATGTAGTATTATATTTTCCATTTTATCAAGTTGTGCTTTGATTCTACTTTACCAGGTATTAAACCATTTATTTTATCAAGTGGTAGTAGTGTAAAATCTTTTGAACAAAATATTTATTATCAGATCCGTCAAGTAATTTGGGTCCTGTTTAGTCAAGAGGTGCTGCATCTTATAAGGTAATGTAGAATCTGTAAACCCATGAATTGTTAAGCTTCTTTTATAAAGAAGTGGTTATGCAAAGATTGTTTCATCAAAGTTTTATTCATTTAAAATACTAATATATTTATTAAAAAAAAAACAAAATTTTAAAATGTAAACTATATTTTACAATTAATTTGAATTTTTTATTTATTTTTTATATAGAATCTATTTTATCAATGAACCCAGTTAAAGATGCCTCATATAAATCATTGCAAAGTTCATCTGGAAGTGTCTAATTCTTTGATAATGAATCAGTTTTGTTGCTTGGAAATAGCTTAGGTGGCGGTTCATGTGTTACAATCCATTTTTTAATCCATGGGGTGATGTTAACAGTAACATTATCAATATATATATCAATATTGGTCATAATCATAGAAGATACTGTTAAATTTTCTCTAAAAATAAATTATATTCAAATAAATTAATTGAAACCGATTTAAATTTTAACTTTTTTATTAAAAAATAATCATCGTTGTAAAAAAAGAGAACTTATGTAATTTTTTCCACACTTATATTTTTATAAACACAGATATATTTTTTTATTTAATTTTACAATATAAAAAAAAATATTATTTGAATTGTGTTAAAAATGCTTCCATCATCACAATTATATCAATTGGGTTAATTGATTATGGTCATACATTTATGTATTCCTTTTATTTATTTAATTTTAATATTTAATTTAATTTTTTTTATTTTGGTTTACTGAGTTAATTAGTTCTGTACTCTAGAATATGGTTTGGTAAGTGAAAGTTGGTAGAACTGCAGATATACTTTTAATTATTTTATTTAAATTATAATTTTTATAAAAATTATAAAAATTTAAAAATTTAAAAAAATAAAATTAAATAATTCAAAAATAAACGATTTTATCATAACATAAATAAATAGATAGTTTTGTTATTTCCTAAAATACTTAATATATATCTACATAATAAAACTAAAACTATTTTCTAATTTTTAAATTTTAAATTTTTTAATTTTTATTTTATTTTTAATTTTTAATTTTAATTTATCTGTATATCATTTGAACCTAAGTACCATACTTTAATCTTTAACTCTTAACACACCGATATAGATTGAGATTTATTAATTGGATGATATTTAAACTTTGTTATTACTATTTTCATTGCTGTTCACCTGTTCTATGCATTTTTAGTTAAATTATTAAAAATATAAAATACAATACTAAATAAATAAACAATAAAATTTTAAACCTTTTAAAAAAAAAAATAAAATTTCTAGATAGAAAATATAAAATAATTTTTTATTTATTAAAATTAATAAAATTTCTAGATAAAAATATTAATCTATTTATTTTATTTGTTTATTGGTTGATTGAAAATTATTCTTTTTGTTGTTTGAATTAGTATAAAATGAAAACCTTTTTTTAGGAGTTTACCAGTTAGTCAATTTTTTTAATCTTTACATATATCAACTGTGGCACGAGTGGCACGAGTGGCTGGAGTCTCTTGTGGACTATTTTTTAAAACTTCTATATTTTTCATACCAATCACTGTTTCCAATAATCTCTTTTAATTTCTAACCGGATTCGAGGTAAGCTTGTGTTGCTTTTAATGGCTCATCCATATAATCTCCCCCTTTAATAAGTTTTTTTTTTTTTTTAATAGTTTGTTTTTTAATTATTATTATTTGTTTCTGTTATTTTGAAATTATAAAGAATGATTGGAAAAAAAAAAAAAAAAAAATTTTGAAAAAAATTTTTTTAAAAAAATTATATTAAAACCCCACCACACACAATTTTTCTTTTTTATAAAAAAATTAATTAAAAAATAGCTAGAACTGTTTAGTTATTCCCATAAAATATTTACATTTCATTGCTGCATATAAAAAAAATTTTAAAAAAATATTAATTAAGAAATATAAAGCTATCAGGAATTCAATAGCCTAGCAGATGCTCAGCTTTATTTTTTCTTCAATAAAAAACTTGTTGAGAGTTTTTTATTTTTGTTGTGTTATATATAATTTGGTTTGTGTTTTCATTTGGTATACAAATATTTAAACTTTTCAGTAAGTTTTTATTTGTTTTTGTGTTATTGTGTTTTGGTTTGTGTTTTAAAAAACTTGTTGGGAGTTTTTTATTTGTATTGTGTATTCGTTTTTACCGGATTTATCTTTCCGGTGATTATAATAAAATATCAACTTAAATTAATAAATAAAAAATATATTTTATATTAATATATTAATATATTGATATATTTTTTATTTATATATATATTTTAATAATTTATAAAAATAAATTATTTTTTTTTTTAAAAAAATAAAAAGATAAAAATTTTAGTTTTTATTTTTTTTTTATAAATAAATTAATTTTTTTATTTTTTTTATTTTAAAATTAAATTTAATAAAAATTTTTATTTTATTTATAATTTTATATAATTAAATGCTAATTGCTTTTTTTTAGATATTAATGAATTTGATGGTTGTGGCTGTGAACAAACATACAATAATTTTAAAATTAAAAAAAAAATTGAAAAATTTAAATACAAACATTAAAAAATTTAAATACAAGCATTTGCCAATAGAGATAGTTGCATCGAAATTCAAAAAAACTTTCTTGTAGATGCACTTAACGTAATTGGCAACCATTGACTTTTCAAAGGGATGTTATTTCTTCAAATAATCTGTCAACTCTCAGCTTATCCATCATTTTGAAAGCTTATTTAAAAAAGCTTCAAAGAAATGTGTCATCTCAGGTTTCAAATAAAATCACCAAAAGTATAGAATTGGTCAGTACTATATTTGGAGAAGTAGATAGTATTAGTATTTGATATATATATAATAAAAAAATCGAATGATTTAAAAAAAATAATAAATGAAGAGTATATATATAAATTAGTTTTTTTATTTTTTTTTTTTTTCAATTTAATTAAAAAAATCAATATTCTTTATTTATTAAAATTAAATTTTAATGTAAATAAATTAAAATTATTATTATCTTCAAAACTATATAAAATATACAAAACTATTTATAAATCATCAAATAAAAATAAAAAATAATATATTTACAAAAATAAATTATAATAAATGAAATTTTGGATTTTTATTTTTATATTAAAGATAAATTGTGAATTTTTTTTATTTTTTTTTTGAATTTTTTTTATATTTTACAAGATATTAATTTCATATTTTTTTATTTTTTTATTTATTTTATATTGACAATGGATGAGCTACTATCATCTCTAATTAACTTTCAAGTAAAAGAAGAGTTAAAAAACAGTAGTAATATTAGTGATAGGTAAGTACAATACAATACAATACAATACAATAAATATAAATAATAGTCGATTAATTAAAAGCATATTAATTGGTGTTTTCTCTTTTTAACTATTTATTATAGATTATTATATATAGTTTGGAATAATATATTTTTAAGAAATGAAATTCATAAACATATTTTAAAGTTTATTGAACATAGTGTTGTAGAATTTGATAGATCAAGTTATGACCAGTTTAAAGATAAATCATATATAACATCACTTGAATGGCATGGTGATCAACTACCAGATAAAAATGAATTTCCACCATTTTTGAAAAATTTAGATTTGTGCGGTTTTAATAAAATGTTAACTCCAACAACTTTACCAAATACAATTACAACACTCATATTTGGTGATGATTTTAACCAAGTGGTTCCACCGGGAACATTACCAAATAATCTCACAACACTCACATTCGGTTATTATTTTAACCGAGTAATTCTACCCTGCACATTACCAAATAGTCTCACAACACTCACATTCGGTCATGATTTTAACCAAGTAATTCTACCCGGCACATTACCAAATAGTCTTACAACACTCACATTTGGTTATGATTTTGACCAAGTAGTTCCACCCGGCACATTACCAAATAGTCTTACAACACTCAAATTCGGTGGTTATTTTAACCAGGTATTTCTACCCGGCGCATTATCAAATAGTCTCACAACACTCAAATTCGGTCGTTATTTTAACCAAGTAATTCTACCCGACTTATTACCAAATAGTCTCACAACACTCACATTCGGTAAAGATTTTAACCAAGTAATTCTACCCGGCACACTACCAAATAATCTCACAAAACTCAAAATCTGTTATTATTTTAACCAAGTAGTTCTACCCGGCACATTACCAAATAATCTTACAACACTCACATTCGGTGGTGACTTTAACCAAGTAGTTCCACCTGGTACATTACCCAATAGTCTAACAACACTCACATTCGGTGATGATTTTAACCAAGTAGTTCCACCCGGCACATTACCAAATAGTCTCACAACACTCACATTTGGTCGTGATTTTAACCAAGTAGTTCTACCCGACACATTACCAAATAGTCTCACAACACTCACATTTGGTCGTAATTTTAACCAAGTAATTCTACCTGGCACATTACCAAATAGTCTAACAACACTCACATTCGGTAGTGATTTTAACCAAGTAGTTCTACCCGGCATATTACCAAATAATCTTACAACACTCACATTCGGTGGTGATTTTAACCAAGTAGTTCCACCCGGCTCATTATCAAATAGTCTCACAACACTCACATTTGGTTATGATTTTAACCAAGTAATTCTACTCGGCTCAATACCAAATAATCTCACAACACTCACATTCGGTCATTGTTTTAACCAAGTAGTTCCACCCGGCACATTACCAAATAGTCTTACAAAACTCACATTTGGTCGTAATTTTGACCAAGTAGTTCCTCCTGGCACACTACCAAATAGTCTCACAACACTCAAAATCTGTTATTATTTTAACCAAGTAGTTCTACCCGGCACATTACCAAATAGTCTCACAACACTCATATTCGGTAATGATTTTAACCAAGTAGTTCTACCTGGCACATTACCAAATAATCTCACAACACTCACATTCGGTCATTGTTTTAACCAAGTAGTTCTACCTGGCACATTACCAAATAGTCTCAGAACACTCACATTCGGTGATGATTTTAACCAAGTAGTTCCACCCGGCACATTACCAAATAATCTCACAACACTCACATTCGGTCGTGATTTTGACCAAATAGTTCAACTTAGGACATTACCCAATAATCTCACAACTCTCACATTCGGTTTTTATTTTAACCAAGAAGTTCTACCTGGAACACTACCAAATAGTCTCACAACACTCACATTCGGTCGTTATTTTAACCGAGTAGTTCCACCTGGTTTATTTAAAATTAAAAAAAAATAAAGTTATCAACCATGATTAATATTTTCCTACCAAAACAGAGTAATAAGCGGAGGGGGAATTAAATATATAAGAATTTGAAAAATTAGTAATTAAATTTTTACTTTAAAGAGTTGAAATGTTGGGTCCAACTTTGTAGAGAGAGAATAGTACCAATTATTATTTTTCTTGGTAATTTTTTGAACAAGTGAATTTTATAGTTTTCTGGAAGCTGAAATAGATTTGGGCAATCATTGAGAGTTTTGATGATGAGGGATATATCTTTTTCAGTGTGGGGAACTTCTTTGGTTATAATCCTTCCAAATGCACCTATTACTATTGGGGTTATTTCTACATCAAATGGTCTGCCATCAGGATCTTTGTATGTATTTTTTATTATTGAACTAGTGTGGAGATAGTCTGATTTTGAATATAAAATAATCTTTCCTAAAATTGAGATAACAAAATCCTGTTTTCCTTTTTTTAGCCGATTGTTCAAATGATCGTTGAATGAGTTTATATAATATGGAGTGAGTTCATTTTGTTTAAAATAATACATTTCTGGATTCATTAATGCTCTTTCTAAATTCTTTAAAAATTCTATACTTTTGGTGATTTTATTTAAAACCTTTGGGATGACACATTTCTTTGAAGCTTTTTTCAATAAGCTTTCAAAATGATGGATAACCTGGGGTAGTGAATCATAAAATAGAATACTCTATTGGTAGCATGGGTCTGTTAGATCTTGTGGTTAAAAATCTATTTCACCAAAATGTATAACTCTTGCTAAACCATTTGTTTATTTTGTTTTATCTGGTTGGGTAGAATAAGTTTCATTAACCCAGTGTGAAGTGGTTTATTATCCGATCCTTCAAGTAATTTGGGTCCTGTTTCGTCAAGAGGTGCTGCCCCTTATAAGGTAATGTAGAATCTTTTAACCCATGTATTGTTAAGCTTCTTTTATAAAGAATTGGAAATGCAAAGATTGTTTCATCAAAGTTTTATTCATTTAAAATACAAATATATTTATTAAAAAAAAAACTATATTATAAAATGTAAACTATATTTTAAATTTTATTATTTATTTATTTTTTATATAGAATCTATTTTATCAATGAACCCAGTCAAAGATGCCTCATCTAAATCATTGAAAAGTTCATCTAATTCTTGGTTTGGAAATATATGAGGGGGTTCATTTGGTTTCAATCCATTTTTTAATCCATGTGGTGATTAAATAAATAATTTTTATAAAAATAAATATCATTTTTAAAAAAAAAATATCAATAAAATTAATTGGAAAAAACTTAAAAATATCATAAAAATCACAAATTTAAAAAAAAATATCATAAAAATTACAAAAAAATTTTAAAAAAATAAATTTTTATTTTTTTTATATATAAAAATTTGGTAAAATATTTATTTTTTTAATTTTTAATTTTTATTTTTTTTAACTAACAATGGATGAGCTACTACCAACTCTAATTAACTTTCGCGTAAATGAAGAGTTAAAAAACAGTAGTAATATAAGTGATAGGTAAGTGCATACATACAATAAATATAAATAATATATTAATTAAAAGCATATTAATTGGTTTTTTCTCTTTTTAACTATTTATTATAGATTATTATATAAAGTTTGGAATAATATAATTTTAAGAAAAGAAATTCATAAATATATTTTAAAGTTTATTAAACATAATGATGTAGAATTTGATATATCCCTTTATGACCAGTTTAAAGATAAATCATTTATAACAGCAATTATGTGGCATGGTGATCAACTACCAGATAAAAATGAATTTCCACCATTTTTGACAAATTTATATTTGGCCAGTTTTAATAAAGAGTTAACTCCAAAAACTTTACCAAATACAATTACTAATCTCATACTCGGTGATGATTTTAACCAAATAGTTCTACCCGGCTCATTCCCAAATACTCTCACAACACTCACATTCGGTCATGATTTTAACCAAGTAATTCCACCTGGCACATTACCAAATAGTCTCACAACACTCACATTCGGTCGTAGTTTTAAAGTAGTTTTACCTGGCACATTACCAAATAGTCTCACAACACTCACATTCGGTCATAAATTTAACCAAGTAATTCTACCTGGCACATTACCAAATAGCCTCACAACACTCACATTTGGTAATCATTTTAACCAAGCAATTTCACCCGGCACATTACCAAATAGTCTCAAAACACTCACATTCGGTAATTATTTTAATCAGGTTCTACCCGACACATTACCAAATAGTCTCACAACACTCACATTCGGTTATAGATTTAACCAGGTTCTACCCAGCACATTACCAAATAGTCTCACAACACTCACATTCGGTAATAATTTTAATCAGGTTCTACCCGGCACATTACCAAATAGTCTCACAACACTCACATTCGGTTATTGTTTTAACCAAGTAGTTCTACCCAGCACATTACCAAATAATCTCACAACACTCACATTCGGTTATTGTTTTAACCAAGAAGTTCTACCCAGCACATTGCCAAATAGTCTCACAACACTCACATTCGGTGATGATTTTAACCAAGTAGTTATACCCGGCACATTACCAAATAATCTCACAACACTCACATTTGGTACTAGTTTTAACCAAGTACCTTCACCTGGCTCATTTCCAGATAGTCTCACAACACTAACATTCGGTCGTGAATTTAACCAAGTACTTACACCCGGATCATTACCTGATAGTCTCCCAACACTCATATTCGGTGATGGATTTAACGAAGTACTTACACCCGGATCATTACCAGATAGTCTCACAACACTCATTTTCGGCGGTGATTTTAACCAAGTACTTACACCCGGATCATTACCAGATAGTCTCACAACACTCATTTTCGGTGGTGATTTTAACCAAGTACTTACACCCGGATCATTACCAGATAGTCTCACAACACTCACATTCGGCTATGATTTTAACCAAGTAATTAAACCAAACTCATTACCAAATAATCTCACAACACTCACATTCGGTCATAGTTTTGACCAAGTAATTAAGCCAAGATCATTACCAAATATTCTATTGACAATCAAGTTTGGTCATGATTTTAACCAAGTACTTACACCCGGCTCATTACCAGATAGTCTCACAACACTCATATTCGGTGATGGATTTAACCAAGTACTTACACCAGGAGCATTACCAAATAGTCTCATCAAAATCACATTCAGTCCTTATTTTAACCAAGTACTTACACCCGGATCATTACCAAATAGTCTCACAACACTCACATTCAATCCTTATTTTAACCAAGTACTTACACCTGGCACATTACCAGATAGTCTCACAACACTCACATTCGGTAGTGAATTTAACCAAGTACTTACACCCGGATCATTACCTGATAGTCTCACAACACTCATATTAGGTGATGGATTTAACCAAGTACTTACACCCGGAGCATTACCAAATAGTCTCACAACACTCACATTCGGTGATGATTTTAACCAAGTAGTTATACCCGGCACATTACCAAATAGTCTCACAACACTCACATTCGGTCATGAATTTAAACAAGAAGTTCCACCCGGCACATTACCAAATAGTCTCACAACACTCACTTTCGGTAATGACATTAACCAAGTAGATCTACCCGGCACATTACCTATTGGTTACATTCTTGCTGAACGACATACCAAATATTTCAACTCTTTTAAGTAAAAACTTTATTAATAATTTTTCAAATTCCTAATATATTTAATTCCCCTCAGATTATTACTCTGTTTTGTTAAACATTTAAAATTTTTTCCTTAATTCAGAATTAATTATATTAAATAAATTAATCCGGAAATATATTAATTTTATTCTTTTAGTTTTTTTTTTTAATTTATGGTATTTTAATTTTTAATCGATGTTTTTTTTATTATTAAAAATAATAAAAAATTTGAAAATTTTTAAATTAAAAACGAATGCTCACACTTATTAAAAAACCTAATCATTCAAATCCAACAACAATTAGGATTTAGGGCCTCCATCATTTGCAACTACACAGATATTGAAGATCTTCTACATGTCGTAAAATGTTCAACAAGCACAAACAATAAAATATCAGAAACAATAATTGAATATTTTAATTTATTAAAAAAATTTAATAAAAAATCGAAAAATGAACTAAAAGATTTTATTATCACAATGCCACAGCACGAACAGCCAATCAACAACAACAAAAACCACCACAAAAACAACAAAAGACATCATACATATAACAATGGAAGAGAATAATAATAATAACTATAATAATTCTGTTTACGATGATGTCCATTTTGATTTATTAAATTCACAAAACTCTAATAAAATAAACATTAATTTTAAAAATTTAAATATATTGTCTTTTAACATTAATGGTGATTTCACCTCTAAACTAAAAAATATTATTAAACTTTCTATAAAAAAGAATATAAAAATTATTTGTTTACAAGAAACTAAATTTACTCGTGATTAAAAATTTAAATAACTTATTTGAAAAAACTGATTTTACTATCCTCTTTTCTTCAATTGATCATATATATAAAAATTACATTACAACACTATCTACTAAATCTGGAAATTCATTAAATAAAGAACTATCTATATTAAATTTGAAAATAAAGAGTTATCATATAAAGCACAATCAGGTGTTGCTACTATTATTCATAAAAATTTACTAAACAATTTAATCCATAATGACATCGTCAAAGATTCACAAGGTAGACTACTGTTTCTATCATTTAAATTTGATAATGGCAAACTGGGTATATTAAATTGAAAAAAATCAACAAAAAAACCGCCAATATGGACTAAAAATTTATTTTTATCAAAAAAGCCTGGATGGCTCAGTAGGCAGAGCGAGCGGCTGTTAACCGCTAGGTCCATGGTTCGATCCCATGTCTAGGCGATTTTTATTTATTTTTATCTTTTTGGTGATTTTTGTTTAAAAATGTTAAGTTTCCGAAGGGGTGCAAGTTTACCAAACCCTGTGTCTTTCCTTGATGTTTTTTAAACCTTTTATGTATTCTAAAGTCCATTTTGAGGTTAGATTCTTATAATCGAGTTCTTTTATTGTATTTTCTTGATCGTGGTATAATTCTTTACATAACCAAATCCAAACTTGATGAAGTACCAGGGCTATGGCATTTCTATAAGCGAAGCATCTAGTTAAGTCTAAATCTATTGCTTTATAGTTCCATTGGAAGTGTGATTTGTGAAATCTGGTGTTGTTGTAATCCATATTTATTTCTCCATCGGATTTGCGACCTTCTGGGATTTTATATGTAATATTTTTTATTGATATATTCCTTCTTGATCTTGTTATGTCTTCACTTTTAAAAAAAAAAAAAAAAAACAACTTGGATGCAATGTGGTAAAACTCATATAAGTATTAAACACATACCAAACAAAACAATAACACAATAAAATACTGATCATTAAGAATCATCATTTTTTAAAAAAAAAGGGTACAATGGTGACTTAAAGGTAGAAGATTTAAAAAAATCTTCACTTTTAAAAAATAAAGGAAGAAGATCACCTTTAAAAGAAAAAAAATAAAAAAAGGAGTTGACTGTTAAAATGCAAATGAATCAATATATCACTTCATCAAAAATATACAGCAGTTGGGTTAAGGTGAATTAATTGACTATAACTTTATACTTAAAAAAATAAAATATTTATTAACATTATTTTTACCTTTAAAACTACACTTGGTTTTGTACATTTAAATCTTGAGATGTTAAGGTCTCAATATCCTCTTCATCATCTTTATCAAAACTGTCATTTTCATCCAATGGTTTAAAACTGAAAGATTTCTTTAATTGATCAAAATATCTATCTATTTGTTCTTCATCAAATTCAACAGAGTGCTCTTGATATTCATCAAATGTTTGAATTAATTTTTTGTCAATTAATTTCTTAGCTTCATAGTTATCTTTTATGATTTCAATGTGTTGCTTTGTTTCCTCATTAAAAATGTTTTCTATTGTATATGTTTCGATATTTTTATGTTTTTCTAGAATTTCATTTATAATTTTATTTTCTTCTTCAATAGTTGATTCAATAATTGAATGTTTTAAATCATTCTCTACTTGCTTTGTCTCCAATTGCTTCAATATATCCAGTTCCATAGTTTGAAATATTTTATGAAGCTTGTCAAATTCCTCTTTAATTTTTGTTTTATTTTCTTCTAAAGCTAATTTTTTTAAAAAAAAAAAAAAAAGTTAATATTTGAGAAAAATTATTTTAATAATCAAACTTACTTGTATTATTGTTATTATTATTATTATCTTGGTTTTGCATTTTATGAGTTTTATAAGAAAAAGTAGTTGTATATGTGGTGTTAATGATGATGCGAAGGAAAAAAAAAAAAAGCATACAAATTACAGTGGTAACCAAATAATAAAAAAAGCATGCAAAATACAGTGATAAAAAAATAAAAAAATATAAAATTTTAAAAAAATTTATAAAAAAAAAAAAACAAAAAATTAAAAAAAATAAAATTGATGGGGGTCAGTTTCTTCTTTTTTATATCAAACAAGAGTAAATTTTATTTTATTTATGATTATTATAATGATGATATGTAAATATTTTCGTTGTGATTTACTTTGTTTTTTAATTAATTTTTTGAAATAAAATAAGTATTTATCGTTTTAACACACCCACACATTCCACACATACACACACACGTACATACACATAATTAAAAAAATAACACCATTAAACTAATATATGGTTAGCATATTTACATATAAATGATATATATATATGTATATAATTATAGTAAGGGTTTAAAATTATAATCACATAATTCCACTACTGTATTTTTTTCTACACAAATACTTAAAATAATTAAAATTAAAATAAAAAAAAATAAAAAAGTGTATTATAAACCCATCGTTTTTTTTTTTCCTTTCTCTTTCTTTGGTTGTAGTGGGGTGATCCAATATAATAGATTTACAAATAAAACATTTTAATTTAATTTAATTTAATTAAAAATATAAAACATAACACATTTTAAAATATCCTCCCAAAATAGTTGTAATTGATTTTAAATATTTATATTTTAAAATTTAAATTTTTTTTTTTTATAATAATTTTTATACTCATTCTTTCATTTCACCATTTCATTCTATATATATATAAAAAATAATATCATATCATAATAAATTTTATTTTTATGTTAATTTTTTTCAAATTTAAATTATATTTTATTTCCATTTTAAAAAAATTTATATGAATTTTTTTTTTTTTAAACTTATGGTTAACCTTTTTTAAATTGTACCTTTTTATTAATTTTTTATATACTTATTTATTTATTTATTTATTTATTTAATTTTTTATTATTATTTTTTTTTATTTCCTTTTTTTTTCAATTTAATATTTAAATACCATTTTTTATAATCTATATAACTTTTATATACAAATAATAATTTAATAATCAAAAAAAAACAAAAATTTATCTTTATTTATTATATCTTTTTTTTTTTTTTATATATTTATTAATTAATTTATATTTTTTCAAATTAAAAAAAAACATTATATTTAAACAATTTAATTTTAAATATCATTTGTATTTTAAAAAAATCATAAAATTAAAATCATAAAATTAAAATCATAATATCAAAATAAAATTTAAAATTTAATAAAAATGAAAATAACAATATTTTTATTATTTTTAATTTTCAATAATATATTTGCAAATAATCATATTGATATCAACATTAACAGTAGTAATAATAATAATGTTGTTAATAATAATAGTGATAGTACTAGTAGAAATAGTAGTAGTAGTGGTAACAATAATAGTAATAAATATACAAATAAATTTAAAAATTATTTTAATGAAGACAATTTTTATACCCAAGAATCTAAAATATTAAAAATTTGGGTTTATTTCAATTCCAAAGATATAAAACTTAATAATAAAAATAAATTCATCGATAATAATAATGGGGAAGAATTATCATTCAATCACTTAAAGAATTTAATTGGGTTAAGTGACAGAGCCATCGAAAGAAGAAGCAAAAGAACACCTTCGTCCTCGCCATCCCATAATAACTATATATTTGAAACTGATATACCAGTCTCTAATATAAACATAAACGATATTTTACAATGTAGCAATCAAAATATTACAATTGATGTTAATAAAAAATCAAATTGGTTAAACTCAATATCAATTAAATTAACAAATAATTATAATGATATTGATTTCAGTGACTATTTAAAAGTAATCAACTGTATAGAATCAAAATCATATGTTTCTAAAATCGATTTAGTATCAAAAATAAATAATAATAACCCAATTATTCAAATAGATAAAACAGTTAATGAACAAGTAAATAATTTAAATTTTTTATTAAACAGCAAATTATTAAAAACACAACCAGATCAATTTGATTCTCAAAATGAAGACTCTGAAAGCAAATTCAATTCTAAATTTTATGGAAGATCATATGACTCGATTAAACTATCAAATATTGATAAACTACATCAAATGGGTTTGGACGGTAGTGGCGTTAAAATACTAATAATAGATAGTGGCTATCACAAAGACCATCCATCATTACAACATCTAAAGGTAGTAAAGGAATTTGGTTTTTATAATTTATCAGATATAAGTGCAGATGATAAAAATAACCATGGAACAGCAACACTCTCAGTCATAGGTGGATATTTACCAGGGTCACACATTGGACCAGCATACAATGCATCCTATTATTTATCAAAAATGGATTTAACTGAAGGATTGGCTTTTTTTGATTCAATTCCAGAAGGTATCGAAGTTGCCGAGCGTGAAGGTATCGATTTAATAACATGCAGCATGGGATTTGGTCAAATAGATGGCGAATATTTATACTATAACGAAGACGAATATTTTATTACCAAAATTGCAGATACACTAGTTTCTAAAGGAGTTGTTTTTGTATCTTCTGCAGGAAATACAGGGGAAACTGGTATGTACAGCCCTGCATACAGCGAGCATGTTATTACCGTTGGGTCTGTAAGTTTGGATGGTTCTGCTACTGAATGGTCGTCAAATGGTCCCAATGCAAATGGAATTGTTAAACCTGATATTATGGCATTAGGTGTTAATATCTCTATAGTTTGGAACAACACTTTTGCACTTGCAATGGGAACTAGTTTTTCTGCACCACTAGTTGCTGGTGGTATTGCATTGTTGCTACAAGCTCATCCAACATGGACTCCACAACAAATCCATGAAGCAATACTCTCTACTGGCTCAATGGTAAACTCACCAAACTCTATCCATGGATACGGTGTATTTGATGCATATAAAGCATTAAACTTTAAACCCATCTCTGAGGAAACTACGTTATCATGTTCATCCAATAAAGAATGCTCAGATGAAAACGGTATTTGCTGCAATGGTAAATGTGTATGTGCACCAGCTTACTATGGAACCTATTGCCAATATAAAAGAATCGAATGTGGTGACCAATGTAATATTGATTACAACTTACCAAATAAACCCACATCCAATGTCAGTATATGTCAAGTCAACACTAGAGGCTTTCCATCATTCAAATGTGTTTATAGAGACGCTCCAACAGATCAACTATCAACAAATGAAAATCCATTCATCGTAAGCCAACAATCTCTAAACAATTGCTTTGATCCCAAATTTATTATAAACTCTTCAACAAATAATATTAATACCCTAAATTTATTTATTTATTTACTTAATATTATTATTATCATTAATTTAGTTTTATAATAAATTTTAAACATTTAAAAAAAATATTTTATATTTTTTAAAAAGTTTTATTAATTTTATTTTATATCATGCAGTAAAAATATCTGATAAAGCTTGGTATATTTATACTAATTTGATTATTTGTAATAATAATGAAATTTATTTTTAAAACTCTTTATTATAACAAAAACAATCAAATATATTAAATAATTAATAGTTACACATATCCTCTTTTTGGGAAAAATTCATATAAAATTTATTTATTTCTTTTTTAATATATTAATTAAAAAAATTATAATTAAAAAAATAAAAAAAAAATTACGAAAATTTTTTTTTATTTTTATTATTTTTTTATTATTTTTTTTATTTTTTTTTTTTTTCTAATTTAAAAATTAATTAATAAATAAACCCCAATATATTTAATAATATAGTTTATAAGAATGGATTTATTCAGTCATTTGAATTGGTATAGTGGTGTAACAACTGAAGAAGGTGAACCAATCAAAAGTATACCAACAGGAAAATTAATTGTAATTTCAGATACTTTGGAATCTGAAGGATCATTTTTAATTCACTATTTTTTACAATCTATATTTAAATCAACCACTACACCAAATGCCAATACCACCAACAACACTAATAATACATGGGGTGGATCATGCTTATTGGGATTAAACCAATCTTTATACAACTATTTTAACATTGGCAGAAAATTGGGATATAACTTAACCAACGAAAACGCCAAAGGCAACTTTACATTTATAAACGGACTTTCAACACCATACCAATGGATCATCGAACAAAGAGTACAACAATTAGAGGAACAAGGTTTAGATGAAGAACCACCATTAGATTCAATTTCACAAGGTTTTGCCCCATTCCCAATCACACATTTAAACTCAAACATTGTAAACATCTCCTCGACTGTATCATCAACCTCAACATCAAATAATAATGAATTAAAAAATATATTACAAAAAATTTATAATGAATTTATAAATGATCATAAAAAAAGAATTCAAAAGAACCCAAGTAATAAAACATTATTTATAATAGATGGTTTAAATATTTTATCAAGCTATAACTCTGGCAACCCAAGCGGATCATTTATGGACATTGTTTACTTTCTTCAATACTGCCACAACTATATCAAAGAAAATTCAAATACATGTTCAATGTTAATACTCTTCCACCCTGACTGTGATGAAGATTCTAAATTTTTTAACTTGCTCCAATATGAAGCCGATTTAACTATAAATATTACAAATTTAAAGTCTGGCTATTCAAAAGATATTGATGGACAAGTATGTATTTATATTTTTAAAAAAAAAAAAAAAAAAGAACCAACCATTAATTTTGTTATTTTTTATTTTAGCTCAATTTTATTCAAAAAGACGAAAAAACCAATACATTTGTAAAAGTAAATCCAATTCACTACCAAGCATTGGACAATTCAATCAGATTTTTCTCAATGGGTTCAAGAATTCAATAAAAATAAATAAAATAATTTTATTATAAAATGCCTTTTTCGTGCCTTTTTTATGAATTTCAGTTAAAAGTTTTTTTTTTTTTTTTATGGTTTTTTTATTCGCCAAAATAAAGTTTATATATTAAATAATAAATATTATTATTGAGCAAAATATTCTTTCTATACAAAAAATAAAAAAATAAAAAATATATTAAAGAATAAAATATAAAAAAATGATGACAGTTTATCTTTAACCAAATATGTATTAGTTTTTATCTAAAAAAAAAAAAAAATTAAAAAAAAAATTAAAAAAAAAAAAAAAAAAGTGTAGAAGGATGAGTATATAGCATGTCTCTGCTCTAATATCGCATAAATAATAAATTTAAACCATATACACATATAAATATATACATATAACACATAAATATCAATAAATATTTCCATATAAATCAAAAAAAAACACTTAAAAAAAATAATTTTTTAAAATAAAATAAAATTTAAAAAAAAAAATTTTAATTTTTTTTCAATTTTTTTTATTTTTTTTTTTTTATTTTTTTTTAAAATTATAAAAATTTTTGTGTTTATATTATATTTTATATTATTGTTTATAAATATAAATAATATTATTTAAGAAAAAAAAACAATAAAAAAAAAATATCCAATAATACTGTTATAGTATTGGGTTCATATTAAATTTCATTTTTTTTTTTTTGTTTTTTTATTAAACAATAAATAAATAATAAATAAAATACACAATAATTTAATCACAATATAAAAAAAGAAAATTTTTTTTTTCTTTTAAAATATAAAAAATAAATAAATAAACAATTAATAATTTTTTATTTGTAATAAAATAAACTATATATATATATATAATAATTTTTAAAAAATAATATATTTTCTTTTTTTTTTTTTTTGTTATTTTTTTAGAAAAAATTTAAATATATAGCATATATATAATAGGAATAAAAGTTATTGAATATTAAAGCAGTAACAGAATAATATATAACCAAAGAGAAATTAAATTATTATTATAGTATTAATATTATAATAGTTAGTGTAAAAGATGGAAATTTTAAATTTATCGGTAGAATTTCACGTACCGGATGGTGGCACTTTAAAAAAGATTGTTAGGGTCGATAACTCGACCAAGGTTGGTGATATGGCACGTTTACTTTTGGATAAGTTTGGTAGATCAGAGTTTGACCCATCACAATTTCAATTAATAGTCCCAACCAAATCATCAAATATTCAGTATACAGCTTTATCAGATTTAAATAAATCGTTATCAAGTTACAATATTAAAAATAATGTATGTAGCACTCGAAATCGAGATATTTTAATTATAATAAAAAACAATTCTCTAATAATAAAATAATTTTACATTTTAAAGGATGATTTAATTTTAAAGAAAAGACAAAAGAAATCAAATCCAACAAGTGCAAAATTAGCATCAAAAAAGAAACCCGAAAGTATTTTTAAAACATTATTTTCAATGTCAACACTTGAAATGAAATTAGGCGATAATGATAAAGTTACCCCAGAAATTACCGAAGTCGAAAATCAAATTGACGATTTAACAATTTTATTTAAATCATTTGAATATTTAAATAATTATTTTAATCAACACAAAGGTAATAATATTAAAATTTTCTTTTGCATAAAGTTAGAATATTAAAAACTAATACTTTTTTATTTTATCTTAGAAATTAACGATATTTTAATAATATTTCAATATAGCGGCAGCGAACAAGAAATATCAGAATTGGTAAAATCCACTCTTTCAAACCAAACATCATCATCGTATGACAGTGTCGATATAACACAATATCAAAAAAATCCAAAAATTTTAGGTAGCTTTATTTTATCATTATTACAAGTTATATTTTCACAAAATTCATCATACTCTCTGTACACTACATATTTAAAATCGACAACATCAGCAGTCACAACCTCCACAGATACTAGATCAACATATTTTTACGAAATACCAATCAAAAATAGAATTATTTTAAAACATATCATGCTGTTTTTATATAATTTATCTCAAAGAGATTCAAATCTATTAGAGGCTTTATCAAATATTATTGGTCCATTCATATTGGGAAATGTTTTATTAGATCCACCACCACAAACAAATTCACCAGCTTTATTAGGTGTAAATAATCTACAACAAACAAATATTATAACGGCGAGCGGCAGTAATTTAGAAAATAGTAATAATAGT